AAGATTCTCATGACAAAGCACCAGAGATCTGGACCAGAGCAGCTCCTCAAACGACAAGGGTGATAAGGGATTCACATACAGCGAAGCCTTGGAAGGAACACCGAAGAGCAAGTTAATGCCAAAGCCTTCAGGACGTCAGAGAACCACGCCGAACCTTGACCGCGTCGTTACTGTGGCATCCAATAACCTTTTCCAAGAAGATTTTCACGCCAGGAGACTGAGGACTTCAAGCAATTCTCAAGGAAGGGTACGTGATTCCGGGATGTCACCGGCACTAAAATGGAAGGATACATAACCACTTGTATTCTTCGTTCCCTTCCCTTTTGAAAAACGGGTGTTCTCCATCTGAATATTGAAGTTCGGAGCAACAATCGGGTTCTTCTTGTTTGCCTCGTAGTCCACATCTGACAACCTGTCCATGAGGTCGTTAGCTTCTTTTCGAAGAGTGAAAACCAATATCCAGTCTGTCGCAATCATGTCGATTCCGCTGATTTAGCCGGTGAGCTCTTCCTCAATCTTGAGAACACCGAAGTACGGTCTTCTTGTTTACCGGGTTCTTGGATGTTTGGGATCGCGCTTGCTCCTCGTGTTTCCGACTTGCTCCCGGATCATCGTCTTTTCCCCTCTCGCTGTTGTAATTCCAGCTGCTCCAGTTTGCCCACAAACTCCAAGCATTGGATCAGGATGTTGACCAGTTTCCTGGAGGCCTTTCCAAATCGCAATCCTTTTGATCGTCCTTGGAAGATGAGGATCTTGGCTTTGGCGAGGCCTTTCTGGAAGGTTGTGCGATTCTTCCTCTTTCTTCCTTTCGGACTCCTCGCCGGCGTTGAGCTTGTAGAATGCAGCATGAAGATTGTTGATTCTGTCGATGCTCTCTTCGGCGTGGATTCCTCGTTCAAATGACCTGGATACTACCACTGTCCAGTTCTTATGGAACATTCCCCGACGCCCGTCTTCTGGCTCAGGCTGATCGACGTTGAGGTAGACGATCATCTTGTTTATCGGAGTGTTGTCCTCGGCGGTCACGATCTTGCCCGCGGATTCTTGGACACTTTGTTAGGCATCATCGGATCTGTAAGGAATGGCATAACGCAATGGACCAAGGGCGGGCACAACAGAACCCATGTTTGTCGAGCCAAACTACCGTTCTTAACGGTTGGCGTTTATCAATACGAGTGCACCGCCACAAGGTCCTACCATGCAGTCATTGGGAACATCACGCGTGCATCGTGGACTGAAACACACGGTAGATGTTGTTACCGGAGACGCAAACCCCGCGCGCAATAAGCCAAACAAGACACACGGGTCCAACATCCACAGATATCCGGCATCAACATGGTGATGGAAGGAACCTTAGAGTTGTTCCATGATCCCAGAAGCCTTCAGTGAACCATATTGGTATCTCTTCAGAATGCGCGGCATCCAAGAGATCCATCACTCAAGCCGCATTGAATTACGAGAAGAAGCAACGGTGTCCTCGATTGCCTGGCAACACATGTATTCCCTTGGGCCAAGAGCAACCGAACGCAGGACGTCCGCAAGCAATGCGTAGACCACGATTACGCCGCAGATCCACGGCATCCTTTGGGAACACATTCCCCAAGAACGACGCAAGCTCCTCACCAATGAGGCGCATATGTTGGGATGTGCGGACTCGGACTGGCACCATCCGTTGTTGGTGAACATCGACTCCATGAATGAGAACAACATGTCCGAGGAGAAGCTGAAAAGCCCGGGAATATTCCAGCTGAAGAGTATCCAACGCTTCGAATGGAACGCGCTGCCATCTTACTCAATGATCAAGAGAACCATTCCATTGGAATCTCCATTTCGGTTGCCTCCGAGAATTCCGGAATTTCTCACCATGGTTCTAGGAGTGGTCACTGTCTATCGTATTTCCACCGTGCGCATACTCAGAAGTCTCAACATTGCTACACACCGACACCTCCTGCAGATGCGCTCGTGCAAAAATAGCGCGCCTCTTCGCTTTATTGGAATCAGATGGCTACGGCACATTTTCCACCGTGCTATCACTGCACTGTTCCTCATAACCAACACTTTTGAGCTGATTGGTGAAATCACTCTATGGCAGTATTCCCTTAGGAGTAATGATGCCATGAGTGGAAAGAAGTTTGTGTCTGTTTCGTTTCTCTTCACAATATTCCACTCATGAAGCGATCCGCCTGCCACCTTTGGCTCGAGGCCTGTGCGTCACTTGTTGCTGTCTCAGATAGGAAAACAAGTGTGCTTTGCTGATTGTAGCGCATTGTGCGAACAATTGTTTCCACAAGCAAGTTTTAAGTGTGTTTGTAAAGCGCTGCCCGCGCAGGACAAAAAGGCTATCGCCCATCTGAATTTCGGGCACTTGCTTGCCACTGTTTGCGTGGGTGACAGTTCCCACACGGGGCCCTCTCCCCGAACTCAAGCGAAAAGCCCCGCAGGCTGGGCAAACGACCAGACGGCGACGGGTGAGCGAGGTCCTTGCGCAAGATCCAGGTTGGTGGAAATGATGGGGCGCCATTGGCCGTGCGTGTGACTCCTTCAGGAACCCCCGTTGAGGCTGGCATCAGCCCAGACCACATGTTCGACTTTCTCCAGAACGCCAAGAACCATGTTGAGCAGGCTGCCAGTCCTGGCCAAAAATGCTTGACGTGTGAGAGCTACAATCGGAGTTCAAATTCCAGCGCGGTGTCAAGCAGTCACAGCTGGAATCCGGCACATCCTGGACTTGCCGGGGCCTGGAGCGGAGGCCGGTCCTGGACATAGAGGACAATGACGCCTTGGTTGACAACATGAAGAAGCTCGCCTTGCAACCCCTGCTCTGGGCTTCGGACTTGTCGGCAACCAGGTACATTTCCTGTCAGAAAATGACCCACAGACTCCAGATGAAGAAGTCATCTTCAGCCCAGACATCTCCAAAATCCATGCCATCCAGCCGTTGTGGATGAGGCCACTATGGGTCGCAGGAGAGCGATCAAAGATCCAGGCCATGGCCACTCTGGACACCAAGCCATTAGTGCCAGGACGTTGGGGGAGACGAAGCGGCGCTCCTCAAGGTTGGCGCGGCTGAGGCACCTTCACTAAGGAACTCCCCCCTCCCCAATCCAACTGCCGGCTGCCTCAGGTGGAAAGGGGGGGGAACCACTTCAGGCAGTTCATGGATCTTCGGCCTCTCCACCCCCTTCCACTGCAGCTGTGGAACTTTTTCCACGAGACTTTGAGGGCACAGGCGGCAACATCATCGACGCGACCAACATCAGAGCTCATGAACTGCTATGGCACCTCTCTCAGCGTGAAGAACATTTCAAACCTGAAGAACAAAAAGTCCACCCGCAGCCGCAAGCAGGAGCTGGGTTTCCCTTCCATCACGGTTAAGAGAAAGGGGGCAGTGATGGTCAACGAGGCGGGAAAAACCACGAAGATCAAAAAGGTAAGGCCAAGGCGTGGGTGGAGGCACGAGGCTACCATCAACCCACAGGGCCAGAAGACTATGCCAACATAGGAACTTCCCCAGCTGGTTGGCAGAATCTCCCGCGTGTGGCAGCGGTTTCTCCGGATGCGTGCGGAGCATGAATCATCGTCGAACATCCACAGGCCGTCCTTGTAGCGTATATCGGTTGCTGGAGGATGCTTTGTGCGATCTGGCCGCGTGCGGCGTGACACTTGCTGAGGAATTTGGAGCTCGCCCGCCTTCGTTACGATGCCTGGGCGAGGCGACTCCTGACAAGCCATGATTCACTCAGCAGCTTTGGTGACGAAGTTGGTTCTGAATAACCAGGCCGAGCTCAATGAGCGGCGCAACATGTTTTTCTGAGCGGGTTAAATAAGCATCCGCTAGCAAGCATCTCCAATCTCGGATATCTCACCTGCCTCCAGAGCGAACTCTGAAGCAAACTCTTGCGGTTGTGCAGTCACGCAATGAATGCGCATTGACCCTGCAGAGACTGGAGTCCACAAGTTCCATGCAAGAGGCACCCGGCTCACATCCACACGTGCAACCACCTGACAAAATCTTGTCAATGACCAGCCACACTTCCCACTCCCATAGCGGAAGTGCGGGCGGCAGACTGGCCCGCTTCAATCACTGCAGCGTGGTCCTGCGCCACGATAGCTTGCGCTAGCCCCTTAACGGCAACTTCGGGGCCAGCAGAGGCAGTCGCCCCGCAAGCTACCACTCCAGCAAAGTCACCTCCGCTGCGTGTCGAGGCCAAAGAACTCCGCGGTGTAGGGGTTGACAAACTGCCGTGGTTGTGTTCCTAGACCCTTGGCTTGGGACCATGAAGGCCGCTTGCCCTTGCACACGGCGTCGTAGTCGCCATCCGTGATGTGGATGCGGTGGATGTGGGTGATGGCCGCCGCAATTTCAGCACTACGCAATGTTGGGCTTGGATGAGTCGCCTTTTCCGCCAAAACTTCGATCGCGATGCAAGACAGCAGTCGGTCGTTCCTCGAAATAGATTTGAACGTAGCTAATGTCGTCGGAGGTCGTTTGGGCCAAACGACCCAACAAAAATCCCACGCGGCCACGAGAATCCCACGTGCGAAATATAGCCTTCAAAGCCCGTGAAAAAGCCACAAAAATCAGGACTATGACCTATGACCGTGGATATCCGTGAAAAGAGCGCAAAACATTGAGTTCGCTGAGCAGCCGAGTGGCGCAGTAGCATATTTTGTGGAGTGAAACACTCTGTAGCATATTTTGTGGAGTGAAACACTCTGCACCCACCTTGCAGATCTAGGACGGTGGCTAGCTTTGTCCATGGTTGACCAACGAGGTTGTCGCGCTGACGTCAACGTCGCTTTGCAGTGAAGGTCCAAGCGTCAGCTGCCAATGCAACTGTCTGGCACAAATGTTCACCGTGCTTTTCCAACAAACCAAGGACTCGGTTGGTGAACTACGCAGGGGGCCCTTCAAGAGCCGAAAAGGTCATGTCCGCTACGCGCAGCCAAGCAGTTGATACTGAGCCCTGAATATGGCATCCTACTTGAAGGCAAGCTTCATCCAGTTCCCATTCCAGATACTCCGTGTCTGCCGCTGCAATGATGTCGGCAGGATAAGGCTTCCTTGGACCGAATCGGGAAACCGTGCCAACTTGCAACGACCCGTTTTGGCAGGTCTCAAGTGGGCGAAATCCCTTCTCAAACGCAAAAGGAGCAAACTAAAGACTTGCAAAGAGCGCGCCCTTTTTGCAAAAATTGCTGTCGGCCTTCCTATCCTTGAAAGGGGAGGTCCCTATCTTCAGACCTTTGCCACCTCGCTGCGAGGCTTCAGAAGATTGATAGTTCTTTTTGCAGGCGCTCCACGGTCCCTTGGCTCATTTGCACGCCCGTAAAGCCGTTGCACGCAGAATCACATGTGGCAGGCACACGAGCATGATTTCGATATGGACGGGAATCCAACGCTAAAGAACCGATGATGGGTTGAAGCTCGTTTTGAGAGTGCCTACAAGGGGAGCGCCCTAACTTAGGGGATGCCTTTTTGGAGAAGAAACAGGAAAGCTCACCACTTGCAACTTGCAGGGGGCGTTTTGGCACCCACCTGCAAAATAAAGACCGGTCTTGTGTGATGTGTTGAGCCCTTCAGACTCCAACTCAAAAGCATTTTACACTCTGTTGCTCGTGCAAGTACAGAGTTTCTACGCGCCTGCAGTTTTTGTCGAATTGAACTGTGACTCCCTGCCCTCTCCATGTTTTTTGTCCCCGCGTCTTCTCCGGCACTTCGCTGCGTTTCTCCAGCTGCAAACGCGGTGTGTCTCTTAGCGCGTGTCCTGGGAGTTTAATGTCGCGATCCCCGCAGGTCCACCTACCCCAACGGCAAGGCGCTGGGTGACTGAGGCATCCACGAGTGCGGACCCACCCACCACCGATCCGCGCACCGGGACCTCCGTCAGGGAGCCGACCGCAAGAATAGGGCAAGACATGTTGTTGGAAGACACCTGTTTAACGGGGCAACACACTGGCGACCCCGGCTTCACTTTGCAAAGAGGAAACAGGTTGTTGGACTTTGCACAGGCCTCCTTTCGCTTTCGGTCCAAAGAGGAGGTGAAGTGTTGAAAGAGATCCATGGAAGGAGTGGGCCAAGGAATAAGCACCGAAACCGTGGCAAGGAAGGTGCAATTGGCTGGCCGTTTTTTGCGGCTGAGCCGTTCAACACACCAGCCACTGGGGAAATGCAGGATTTGCCTTTTGACTTCTTTTTGAGGAAAGAAAGGGCAAGCGCTTTCAAGAAAATTGACGGCAAACTAAACAGGGAACCCCAAATGCTTACGGAATCGATCCAATTTTGGAACCCTCAAATTTGTTGGCTGTGGCCCCTCATAAGGTCATCTTTCGGGATCCCGAGCTCTCCGCACTTTGCTGCCTCGAGGGCCTGCACTTCCTCGGACATCTCGCTGCGTTTTGTCAGGCGCCCCGTGTACGTGCAGATCGCAGGGCCCCGCTCTTCCGGCCTGCGGTCCGCAGGTTTTTGGGCGCTCAAAAATTTGGGGGCCTACCAAAAAAATGCTGAGTTCCCATTTGTAATTTCGCAAAAGAGGACCGAACTCCATCTGGCCCTGGATTTGAACCCGTGTTTTCAATCTTTCGTCCCGCGTTCCGGTTAAAATTGGACGTGCAGGGAATGTAAGTGGGATCCTGTCCCCAGCATCCCTTGCAGTGGAGAGCGCAGAGGAGTGGAGTGGACTTCACTGCACTGCGCTGCACTCCACTCCACTCCACTCCACTCCACTCCACTGCACTCACTCCACTCCCTCCACTCCCTCGACTCACTCCACTCCACTCCACTCACTCCACTCCCTCCACTCCCTCCACTCACTCCACTCACTCCCGCCACCTGCCTCCGCTCACTCCACTCACTCCATTCACGGAGTGGAGTGGAGTGGAGTGGAGTGGAGTAAATGGAGCGAGTGGAGTGAGTGGAGTGAGTGGAGTGAGCGGAGGCAGCGAGTTGAGCGAGTGGAGAGAGTGGAGAGAGTGGAGTGAGTGGAGTGAGTGGAGTGAGTGGAGTGGGTGGAGTGGAGTGAGTGGAGTGAGTGGAGTGAGTGGAGTGAGTGGAGTGAGTTGAGTGAGTGGAGTGAGTGGAGTGGGTGGAGCGAGTGGAGTGAGTGGAGTGAGTGGAGTGAGTGGAGTGAGTGGAGTGGAGAGTGAGTGGAGCGGAGCGGAGCGGAGCGGAGCGGAGCGGAGCGGAGTGGAGTGGAGTGGAGTGGAGTGGAGTGGAGTGGAGTGGAGTGGAGTGGAGTGGAGTGGGGTGGAGTGTGGAGTGGAGTGGAGCGGAGCGGAGCGGAGTGGCGTGGCGTGGAGTGAAGTGGAGTGGAGTGGAGTGGAGTGGAGTGGAGTGGCGTGGCGTGGCGTGGCGTGGCGTGGAGTGCGTGGAGTGAGCGGAGTGAGCGGAGTGAGTGCAGTGAGTGGAGTGCCGCGCAGTGGAGCGGAGTGAAGTGGAGTGGAGTGGAGTGGAGCGGAGTGGAGTGGAGTGGCGTGGCGTGGCTCAGCGTGGGGTGAGGGGAGTGAGCGGAGTGAGCGGAGTCAGTGAAGTGAGTGGAGTGGAGTGAGTGGAGTCAGTGGAGTGAGTGGAGTGAGTGGAGTGAGTGGAGTGAGTGGGGTGAGAGGGGTGAGTGGAGTGAGTGGAGTGAGTGGGGTGAGTGGAGTGTGTGGGGTGAGGAATGAGTGGAGTGAGTGGAGTGAGTGGAGTGGAGTGGAGTGGAGTGTGAGTGGAGTGGAGTGGAGTGGAGCGGAGCGGAGTGGCGTGGCGTGGCATGGCGTGGAGTGCGTGGAGTTAGCGGAGTGAGCGGAGTGAGTGGAGTGAGTGGAGTGCCGCGCAGTGGAGTGGAGTGGAGTGGAGTGGAGTGGAGCGGAGTGGAGTGGAGTCGAGTGCAGTGGAATGGAGTGGTGGAGTGGAGTGGAGTGGAGTGGAGTGGAGTGGAGTGGAGTAGAGTGGAGTAGAGTGGAGTGGAGTGGAGTGGAGTGGACTGGAATGGAGTGGAGTGGAGTGGAGTGAGTGGGTGAGTGCGAGAGAGAGAGAGAGAGAGACAAAAAGAGAGTGAGTGAGTGAGTGAGTGAGTGAGTGAGTGAGTGAGTGAGTGAGTGAGTGAGTGAGTGAGTGAGTGAGTGAGTGAGTGAGTGAGTGAGTGAGTGAGTGAGTGGGTGGGTGAGTGAGTGAGTGAGTGAGAGTGAGTGGGTGGGTGGGTGAGTGAGTGAGTGAGTGGGGGGGGGGGTGAGTGTAGTGGAGTGAGTGGAGTGAGTGGAGTGAGTGGAGGGAGTGGAGTGAGTGGAAAGAGTGGAGTGGGTGGAGTGAGTGGAGTGAGTGGAATGAGTGGAGTGAGTGGAGTGGGTGGAGTGAGTGGAGTGAGAGAGAGTGAGAGAGAGTGAGAGAGAGTGAGAGAGAGTGAGAGAGAGTGAGAGAGAGTGAGAGAGAGTGAGAGAGAGTGGAGAGTGGGAGAGAGAGAGAGAGAGCGAGTGAGCGACTAAGTGAGTGAGCGAGTGCCCACACAAGGATGTGTGGAAAAAGAAATATATACAAATATGTACATGAGTATATATATACATATGTGATTTAAAAAAATACATATATGTATATATACATATATGCCACCCCCCCCCATGTCTACCATTTTTAGTGTCAATGGATTTGTGCGGTATTTTCTGCATTTGTGTGCGTTGGGGAAAGCAGCAGAAAAATGGTGCCTCAATATCATTTATCTAGACACTGGAAAAACATCCTGGGTTAGGAATCCTTTTAAAAATCCAGATTGCAGTAAGAATCGCAACTAAACATGTTCTTCCAAAAGGACACCTGGTTTACATCATCTTTATAACTAGAAATCATACTATGATGCGCCGCTGTTAATTTCTATTTGGATTCTACTAGACGACAGAAACTATTTTCAGAAACGCATATTCACAAGTTCGTTAAAATAGAAACTCTACTAGAACTATGTATGAAACTTTACTAAAGTTCGCTTCCAAACAATAACAATAGAAAAAGTTTCAATGTCTATTGGCACATAAGATACTTAATGACAGATGTTATTTGAAGATGAAAGCCTGTTTAGGTTCCATGTGGGGAACAATCCGGAAGTGTGTTTAGTTTTAACAATCATTCAGGCAGGCGTGCTTTCTTTAATGCATCACGGCTTCGACTGGGGTTCTAAAGGGGGTAACTCTCTCTCTCTCTCTCTCTCTCTCTTTTCTAGGATGTGTTGTTCGTTTTGCTAATGGAATTGAATTTAATAGTGACATATCTGATACTTGATCAACAAGCAAAAATCTAAGGCGAATGTCAAATAAGTTAGACGTTAAAATGCTAATGTTTCTTGGAAAAGGACCACCAATTTAGACTATCTTTAAACTAGAAATCCAATAGGATGATTTTCTTGTAGTTGAAATACACAGTCCAATTGAAAAGAGTCTTTGAACAGGCGCGACCCTTTTTGCATTACTTTCCAGGATTCACAGAATTTACAGAGTGTTCTACCAATTTTTTCGGGCTTTGGGGGAAAGCAGCAAGACAAGGCTCATGTTCAAGAACAATCTGAAAACTTCAGGCTCCAAACTTTTTCCAGGGAATCTTGGGCCCTGGTTGCATCTACCTCTGTCATGTTTCTAAGCGGTCAAGCCCCCTAAACCGGCCCCAAAACCGTTTAAACCGTAAAGCCTTTCTCACAGCAAAGCCCCCCCCCCAACGTTCTACCTGAGAGAGGGTTCAATCGGTTTTTATGGACAGGTTTTGGAGCGAGACCTTTCGTGTCAGAGGAGGTTTAAACGGTTTTGGGCCCTGACCTTTTCTCTGAGGGATCGAATGGTTTCACTGGTTGAGTTGAGTTAGAGAGTCTTTTCCTTTTGCAGAGCAGAACAAATGTTAACATTTCATAAACTATCTATATATATGTACCCATATGTATACGTGTCTGCTGCCCCCCAACCCGGGGCGGGGCTTGCGCGTCCGCTTTGCCTCCTTTTTTCATCTGTTCTGCATCCCCTTGCATCCATCGAATTCCCTTGCGTCCCTTCCCATCTTTGATGCGCCCCGTCAAGCCCATCCTGCTATTGCCGAAATGCACAAGTACAAACAAACCAAAACTGCGAACTCCCAAAACTTCAAAGCGCACCCGTCTAGCCGGGGCGCGTGGGTGTCGGCTTGTGCGCAACGGCCACCCCGTAGGTCAGCAGCACAAATCTGGGGTCGAGCACATGTTTTAACCCTCTCAACTGCCGCTCAGGCAAAAATATTGTGACTTCCGTCAGAGATTTGGGTAGGTACTCAGCTGCGCCCTCTATAGGTAACTCACGCGCGCCCTTCATGTCAACAGTGGCGCAAACTCACCTGCGCCCCTGCAAGTAACTCAACCGCGCCCCTATCACTCAAAGTGCTGCGCCTGCCGGCACGGTAAGCTCACCCGCTCTCGCACCCGGAGGGGCGGGCGGGGGGTGGGGGGGGGGGGGGAACGGTAAGCACACCCGCTCAAGTGCGCCCGCTCAACACTGTTTCCGCATGCGACATAGTAAGCCCGCGCGCTCAAGTGCACCTGCTCAGCACTGCACCCATGCGAACTGGTAAGGGGTTGGGGGGGGAACGGTACGCACACCCGCTCAAGTGGAAACAAACATGGACCCATGTGTTGGGTTGACCAATTTAAGACTCGGTCCGACACCAAACAAACTGCACAGCCATGGTATCCCATTGGGGCGCTCAGCGAGCAAAGCCTCTTAAGGGCCGTTTTGGAGAGGGCCCCAGTGTGACTCCTTAAGCTTTGGGCGCACCCCAAAGCATCTAGGCTTGTCTCAAAGCGAATGGCCAGTGTTGTTGTTGCTGCTGCTGCTGCTGCTGGCGCAGGTGTTGTTAGTGTTGGTGTTGGTGTTGGTCTTGGTGTTGTTGTTGTTGTCGCTGTCATTGTCGTTGTCGTCGTCGTCGTTGTTGTTGTCGTTATCGTTATCGTCGTCGTCGTCGTCGTCGTCGTCGTCGTCGTCGTCGTTGTCGTTGTCGTTGCTGTTGCTGCTGCTGCCGTTGCCGTTGCTGTTGCTGTTGCTGTTGCTGTTGGTGTTGCTGTTGCCGTCGCCGTTGTTGGTTGTTGGTTGTTGGTTGTTGGTTGTTGGTTGTTGGTTGTTGGTTGTTGGTTGTTGGTTGTTGGTTGTTGGTTGTTGGTTGTTGGTTGTTGGTTTGTTGTTGTTGTTGGTTGTTGGTTGTTGGTTGTTGGGGCTGGTTAAGGTTGTTGTTGTTGTTGTTGCTGTGCTGTTGTTGCTGTTGTTGTTGTTGTTGTTGTGTTGTTGTTGTTGTGTGTGCTGGTGTTGTTGTTGTTGGTGGTGGTGCTGCTGCTGCTGTTGGTGTGTTGTTGTTGTTGTTGTTGGTGTTGGTGTTGTTGTTGTTGTGTTGTTGTTGTTGTTTGTGGTTGTTGTGGTTGTGGTTGTGGTTGTGGTTGTGGTTGTGGTTGTGGTTGTGGTTGTGGTTGTTGTTGTTGTTGTTGTTGTTGTTGTTGTTGTTGTTGTTGTTGTTGTTGTTGTTGTTGTTGTTGTTGTTGTTGTTGTTGTTGTTGTTGTTGTTGTTGTTGTTGTTGGTTGTTGTTGTTGTTGTTGTTGTTGTTCTTGTGGCGGTGGTGGCGGTGGCGGTGGCGGTGGCGGTGGTGGTGGTGGTGGTGGTTGTCGTTGCCGTTGCCGTTGCCGACGCCGTTGCCGTTGCCGGTGTCGTGATCGTTGTCGTTGCCGTTGTCGTTGTTGTTGTTGGTGGTGGTGGCGGTGGAGGTTGTGGTGCTTGGAAGTTGGCGAAGAGCCAAAACGAGTTTGCTCCGAGTGGCCGGAAATGGTGGTGCTGCGCAGTAAAAGGGCACAAACGAGTTAGCACATAAGGGCACAGACGAGTTAGCCATCGAGGGCACAGCCGAAGGCGCACCCCTTCAGAGACTTTGGGTCGACATCCTACCCTTTTGACATCCGAGACCCCTTCATCCGCGCTGTCTCTGGTGCAGAGGGAGTCAAATCAACCCACGTCACGGCTCCAATCCTTGAAGATTCATGACAATGCTGAACTACCAAATTGTGGTTTGTGAGGGAAAACTTTTCGGAGGTTTGCTTTGAAAGGTTGTGTAGTTCCCGCGCTTTGAGAGTTCAACCGCATGCCCGCAGCAAGCAATTGCATGAAAAGCAGCCGAAGCCGGCAAGGCGAAGAAAATCCAACATATGCGGTTCCAGGTGACCATGTGCCCCTTTTCATTAGAGAGAACAAAGCAGCACTTGGAATTTATGGGGAAGTCAATGGTTGAAAAGCTGCAACCTGCGCAATCCAAGTTAACACTTGGGCCCTGGAGTTCTACCTGCGCCGATCCCAAACAACATCCTTCAAAAAACCAGGGGGGCGGCGAAGCCTGACCAAACGCAAACAAAAATCAGTTTCAGAACTGTTCGCATCCCCGAAAACGAGCGCCAACCAGTTCGGAGGAAGCGCTTGCCATGAACCTGACCGCCCTTCACCACCAGCGAGCCGGGGCTGGCCTGGCTGCTTCAGCACGGCCCCCCCAAATGTAGTGCCATAGAGGTTAGCGAGGATAGCAGCCATACATTACATGTGTGTTACAGACATATGTTCATACATTACAGATCCGTATATATGAATATACCTGCGTGCTGTGCCCGACACAACATATCACTTTTACCTTACTTGCGGGAATCACCACGATGCCCCAGCCGTTGGCTGGGAGACCAACCTATGGCACACTGATTCCCAAGATGTCTGGGGCCTAGAAGTACGAAATGGAGAAATTCGGAATGGACTTCGGCTTCTCTTTTGTTTCCTTTCACAAACCACGGCTGCAGTTGTGCGTGCGCCCTGCCATCCATTTACCTGCTTGTTGGCCCGTTAAATTCTACCTATCCATCTGCCTGTGTATCCACGCCTCTAGTTGTCCATCTATTTATCTACCTATCTATCTGTCCATCTGTCTACCTGGTTATCTGTTTATCTATCTGTCTATCTGTTTATCTGTCTGTCTGTTTGTGCATCTACCCACCTGTCTATCGATGCGTCCACCTACCTGCCTACCTAATCTTTCTGGCACCTTACCTATCTATCTTTCTAACCTTGTCCGCTGTCTGGCTGTCCCTCGCATCGCTCCTACCCATCTATCTCTTCATCCGCTCGTCTATCCGTCCATCCCTCTACCGATCTACGCACCCATCCCTCTATCTCTACCTACCTTTCTACAAATCTATGTATCTATCTACCTCTCTCTGTCTACCTATCTCTGTGTGTCTGTCTACTTGTGTTTCTATCTAATGATGGTCTCCAATTTGTCTGCCCATCGCAATCTAGCTGTTTTCTCTATCTCAACTAAACTGTCTACCCAATCTCTCGTCTGTCTGTCTACCTACTTACCTACCTATCTATCTAGCCACCTTTCCAGCAATCTCTCCATATATATGCCTATCTTACGAATGGTCTGTGCTCTACTGTCCGATCTGTCTATCTCCCTTTCTGTGTATACGTACATTATGTACCTATGTACTTGTGTATCTATCTATCTATCTATCTATCTATCCATCTATCTATCTATCGATCGATCTATCTATCTATCTCTCTACCTATCTTCTTTGCTTTCTTTCAACTATCTAACGATCGTTCTATCTCTCTCTCTGTCTATCAAACTCTGTGGCTGTTTATCTGTCTATCCATCTATCCACGCATCTCTCCTATCTGTTTATCTACCTACCCCGCTGCATATCTACCCCCCCTATCAGACCTCTTGAAGGTCTTGCTCCCAAGCGCTGCGCCTGTCACGACACTCAACGCGCGACCCTGCAAAGTATTGCGCCGGACGAACTCAGCACGTGACCATCCAAAGTCTTGCGCCTGCCACGCACACCACGCTCCGGTCAGACCGGGCGCCAAAGCGCTGCGCTTGCCACAAAACTCAACGTGTGACGCCCCAAAGCGCTGCGCCTGCCAGGAAATCAACGCGATGTGCTCCAAAGCGCTGCGCCTGCAACACAAATCAGCGCCTCCACCGAGACACGCTCCAAAGTGCTGCGTGCCACGGCATTCAAAACTCGCGACCGCCCAAAGCACTGCACCGCCGGCTAATTGAGAATCACAATGGCGCGGCGACACAGAAAAGAGCAACCTTTCAAAACACTGCGCCTGCGCAGCGAGCCAGCATACAACCTCGCAAAAGCTACGATTTGTGCACAAGGGCAACACGTTGCAAGTCATACAGAGCGCGCATTCTGTGCCTTCCCCAGCGGCGGCAACTTCCGCCACCTGCTAACACTTGCGGACGCCTGCAGGGGCAGCAACGCAACGGGAACCTTTCTGCTACGCCTTCGGGAAAAATAGTCTTGAAAAAGATGCACCTATTTAAAAACTTGAGCCAGGGCACAACCCCCAATTTGAGTCGATCCTTACTGACCGGTACACACCTCCAGATGGTTGGTTTTCCGTTGTTGCTGTTCATGACGGTTCTCACTGCGCTTGACACACACCCACTTAGCATAAGACAGGAATTGACCCGTTGGTCCCAACAAACATCATTTGAAAGGGTCCATTCAGCCTCCGTTTTCAACTGAAGCCAACCCTTTTTTGGGAGGCCAACATGCCTGAACCACGTTGTTGAAACATCATTCTCTTGTTCTTTGCTTCTACTGGGATAGGGTCGTACTTACGCTGGAGTTGTAAGTGACTTAGCACTTAGCTTGGACTTATAAGTAACTTATCTTGAACTTAGAAAGAGGTTTTTCTAAGTCCGCTAAGTTCATTCTAAGTGCATTGAGTTGGCAAACACACGTTTTGAAGCATGGCAGTGATGAAGCATTACGCGCTGGAAAGCGGCGCGCGCGCATGCAGTTTACGCTGTTTGTTCGCGCTGCTTCGCACGCTTGGCTTGATGGAGCCGTGGCATTTTTTGCACTGATTGACTCGGTTGAATTTTGTTTTGCGATAATCGTTTCTATAGCGGTGTCTCCGCTGGCGGCCGGTCCGCCTTAATATAGTCGCACGGGGCGGTTTCTCCGCCGGCGGCCGGTCCGCCCGTTTTGCTTTTCTCGTTTGATGATATATCATTGTAGCGGTGGTTCCGCTGGCGGCCGGTCCGCCAAGCTATTTTTGCCACGTTCATTTTCATTTCGAGATGGCACTTGAAGCGGTTGTCCGCTGGCGGCTGGTCCGCCCAGGAATTTTTCGGCGTTGATTTTTATTTCGAGATGGCACTTGAAGCGCTGGTCTGATGGCACTTTGCGATTTTTTGCATGTTTGATTGTGAGTGCGCGGATGAAAGGCTGCAAGACTCAATCCAGGCTCCAGAATCCAGACTGCTGACTGCAAACTCCACACTCCAGACTGCAGACTGCAGACTCCGGACTGCGAACTCCAGATTCCAGACTGCAGACTCCAGACTTCAGACTGCAAACTCTAGACTGCAGACTCCAGGCTCCAGAATGCAAACTCCAGACTCCAAACTGCAGGCTCCAGACTGCAGACTCCAGACTGCAGACTCCAGACTGCAGACTGCAGACTCCAGACTGCAGACTCCAGACTGCAAACTCCAGACTCCAGACTGCAGACTCCAGACTCCAGACTGCAGACTGCAGACTGCCAACTCCAGAATCAAGACTGCAGACTCCAGACTGCAGACTCCAGGCTCCAGACTGCAAAATCCACAGGCAGACTGCAGACTCCAGACTGCAGACTCCAAACTGCAGACTCCAGACTCCAGACTGCAGACTCCTGACTCCAGAATCCAGACTCCTGACTCCAGAATTCACAGTCCAGACCCCAGAATCCAGCACCCAGACAGCCCCGCCCCAAAGCCCGGAAAGGCCGGTGCAGTTTTTTCGAACTTAACAAAACTTAACTTAGCTTAACCTGGGCGGGTCGTGTGGAGCCGTGGAGTCCCTATTGTAACTCAATCAACTTAACTGCCAAACTTTCCCCGTGAGGCCCAGTTGCGTCACCACGACTTAACATAACTTAACTTGGCCCCGTGGCCGAATTCCACCAGAAAATGATCAGGATCCTGGAGTCAGGAGTCATTGTGGAGTCTGGAGTCTGGAATCTGGAATCTCGAGTCTGCAGTCTGGATTCTGGAGTTGGCAGTGTGGAGTCTGGAGTGTGCAGTCCGGAGTCTGCAGTCTGGAGTCTGCAGTCTGGAGTCTGCAGTCTGGAGTCTGGAGTTTGCAGTCTGGAGTGTGAGTCTGGAGTCTGCAGTCTGAAGTCCGCAGTCTGCAGTCTGGGCTCTGCAGTCTGGAGTCTGCAGTCTGGAGCCTGGAGTCTGCAGTCTGGAGTCTGGAGCTTGCAGTCTGGACTGCAGTCTGCACTCTGCAGTCTTTTCTCTGGAGAGTTGGCAGTCTGGAGTCTGGAGTTTGCAGTCTGGAGCCTGCGGTCTGGGGTCTGCAGTCTGCAGTGTGCAGTCTGGAGTTGGCGGTCTGGAATCTGGAGTCTGCAGTCTGGATTCTGGAGTTGGCAGTCTGGAGTCTGGAGTCTGCAGTCTGGAGTCTGGAGCTTGCAGTCTGGAGTCTGCAGTCTGGAGTCTGCAGTCTGGACTCTGCAGTCTGGATTCTGGAGTTGGCAGTCTGCAGTCTGGAGTTCGCAGTCTGGAGTCTGCAGTCTGGAGTCTGCAGTCTGGAGTCTGGAGTGTGGAGTCTGGAGTCTGCATGTGGAGTCTGACTGCAGTTCGAGCGGACCCGCCGCTGGATCTTCGCGTGCCAGCCGCGAGTGCAATCTGAGCGGGCCCGCCGCTATATGACCGGGCCCGCCGCGATGTGAGTCTGCGCGGGCTAGCCGCGAGTGCAGAGCGTCTGCGCGGGCCAGCCGCGAGTGCAGTCTGAGCGGACCAGCCGCTGGGTGTCTGCGCGGGCCAGCCGCGAGTGCAGTCTGAGCCGACCAGCCGCTGCGATATGCCGACCTGTCGTCTTCGAAAAAATATACGCACGCATCGCCCGGTGTAAGATTTGGACTCGCGTTCAGCGATGTGCTTTTGCGACACGTCAGGAGTAAAGCGCGCGTGCTTCTTTCGCATGAGGACGCGCGTCAAGACTCAGCGAGGCAAACTCGTGTTGGGCATTGCTCCGCAAACGCTGGATGCCAAAAAGCTGTTTTTCTTAAAATGGTGCAAAAAAACTAAATTCCAGCTAAGTTCATTCTAAGTCCCGGCACCCGGAACTTAGCTCGAACTTATAAGTGGGCCTATCTAAGTTAACCCTAGACAAGTAACTTATAACTAGGACTCGGACTTAGCAAACTTATAAGTCCAATTGTCCCACGTTATAAGTCCACTTGTAGTAACTTATAACTCAAGTTATAAGTACGACCCTATCCCAGTAAAGCCGGTCAGAATCTAGGGCCTGCCGGTTTGAACGAATTTGCCTAAACCACCAAGGGTCCAATACATTTGTCGCCAGGCGCCCCTGCAAATTGCGGAGGGCCCAGTAAGTGGGACATACGCCACTTCTGTCACAATGGCAAGACTTCAATATGTAGCAATGACATTCCGGAAAGCAGCCATGACATTGAAGATGTGAATGGTGTCCCCAACCAGTTCCTTGAGAATGGGCCACAATATGGAACCCCTTTGTCACCAGGATGTCGGAGCTTGAGCAGGTTGGACACAGCCATACCCACTTGTTCTGGTAATCACCAAACGGTTACTCAAATCAAGACCCCTCTTGTTTTGGTTGGTTTCCTCTGTTTCCCTTGTGGCAATGTGAGAAGCTCCCATGTCTCCGGCAAGAACGGACTACAGAAACTCGGATCCACTTGCCACGGGCAAGGGCTGCTCAAAAGACGGAAATCCCAACCCGTTTGGGACATAACCGTGGCACACTTGCCCCCCGCCCGCGCCTTACACTTCTGGGCGAAGCTCATAAGCTTCTCGAACTGCATCACTGACACGCCCAGCGGTCGAAAGACCTCGTCGTAGAGGTCCATGTTGATGCCTTGTGGGTGGCCACGGTGCTCTCGCACTATATAAACTCAGGTTCAACCCAGAATCAAATTGTCCACAACCACCTTTATCAGTTTAAAATGGAGATGCTCTTGCCACTCCAGGTACGTTTTCCTTCAAGGCCCCTAACCCCCAGTAGATCGCAACATGATGCGACTTTGGCAGCAGCTGTGTGGATGGCTATCGACCAGTTCAGATTAGAATCCCTCTGTGTTCAACCGAACTGAAACCAGGGGTCCTCCATTCCGCGGAACCGTCACGTACATTTCGCTCGACTGACTTGACTGGGCAAAGCACTGCGGGAGTCCTTCACTGGCGTACCAAAGCGGGAAGCTGAGGCGAAGCACCTGGCACAATGGCTCTCGCGTGGGGGGCTCCTTTCTTAAGCTTTGGGGTGTTGTTGTTTTTCTCTTTTACTTGTATTTTTGAGGAATTCTTTTTGGAGCGGTATTGTGTAGGGTTACTCGTTTTGGGGGCTGGTAGGTTTTGAAGTTGTTTCTCGTGGAAATGTTGCTTTCTTTGGAACGCGTTGTTGGGTTAACATGTTGTGGGTTTCACTTTTTTCAGGAAAAGTCCAGAAAATTCCCTGGACAGTGACTCCAGCTTCCGAATTCAGAAAATCGCAAAATCTGAAATCCAGATTCCAGCGCTTGAAGTTTTCCATTTCCAGCTTCAACTTCGAAGTCAATCAAACTCAGAAAAACTGCATCTCCCAGATTCAGCAATGTTCAGGGAGTTCTGAACTTTTTCTGACTCCAGCCCCCAGCAATCAGACAATTTCAGGGGCTCAAATTTCAGAAAAGTACGAACATTTCAGAAACCTGCCCCCGGTAATCGCAATGTTCCGCACATTTTCTGAGATATTAAAAATGCAGTTGTGATTCCAGATCGCGTTGAGACAGTTTCAGGATGATCTGATTGCTTTGGATTCCATGAAGCAACTCCAACTTTTTCAGAAATTGCACGCTTGCCGCTCCATTTCTGTGAAAACTTCCGATTCCACTCGCTGCTGAAGCTTTCTATGTCATATTCTTTTATGTTTTTGTGGCTCCAGCTATTTCGATTTGTTTGGATTCCAGCTTCTGCCTGATTCTTGCTGCCTGAAATCAGAAGACTCTAGCTCCCGGAATCTCCCTGATTCAGAATGTTCCTGGGCAGAAAAAACAACATTTTGCAGCTCCCCGGAATCATTTCAGAATGTTCCGAAATTTTCTGAATCCAGCTCCCGGACTCAGAAAATGTCAGAACGTACTGAAATTGTCTGCCATGCTTTCAAAAAAGTTGCTTTCCAGACATCCGCAAAGTCCCGACCCCAGTCTCAAGTGTGACGTTGTTTGACTCTGGACCCTCCGCGACTGGACACACCGTGCAAGCTCCATCGGCTTCATGGGTTTTAAGCTGCGCAGGAGCAATTAAAGTCAATAAGATAAATGCGTTTGGCCATCCGGTAGCCAAATTTCAGCGCACGCACTCTCAAAAAGCCAAACATCACACTTGTCAGGTGCTCGGAGGTGTCATTCTCTGAAAACAACCCACTCACGCTGGGCGAGCAACCCCTGCAGCCAACCAGCGCAGCTGGTGATTGCGAAGCTCTAGGATAAAGCAGCCCGAACAAGAGACACCCCTGAAAGAAGCAACCCTTTCAAAACACCCACCCGAGAAAAAAGCCAAGCCAAGAAAAGCAGCCCAGAGAGGCAAGCCAACCAAGAACACCCCCAAAACAAGCAAGCCCAGGAACAATCAGAAACAACACAACTTCAAAAAAGAAGCGACAGCAAGAAGCGACCTCCCCAGAACAGTGCCTCAACAAGCGCCTGCGCGCGTGTGCGAGCGCGCGCGCCGCACGGGGCGCGCGCCCAAAGCCAAGCAGACAAAGACTGCACCCCCGGTATCCACATCCTCGCCAACTTCACCAGTATTCCCAGCATTCCTGCAGCACCAGCATCCGGGCTTCTCAACATCCCTAACATCCCTTGCATCCCTTGCATCCCCTCAAAATTGGCCCCTGAAAGTAGGTTTTGTCGCTTCTCGTCTCTACTGGGCGGGGGATCGGCTTCTGGTCTCTAGCGCCATGGCCTTCTTTTTTGCGGAGCTCAGATGATGGGTGTGGCCGCACAGAAGGCGTTTGACTCGACGGTTGTTCTTTAAGCGCCCAGCACCTTGGCGTGAATATGCGGCTTTGACATTCTGGATCGGTTGCCCTCTCTTTTCTCCACCATGACAATGAGTGGTGTGTGGCCACACACCGCAGAAAGCGCAGACTTCTGGCCAGCTTCGTGAAAAGGCGGGCGCGCTGTTTGCCCAAGATATGGCGACGGTGCTGCTCAGAGCGCAGCCTTGACAGAGCTGCGCGAGGAAGGCGGATGAATGTGGATGCCAGGGTTTCTTTCCCTTGGCAGCAGCACGGGTGAAGACACGGTTGGGTCAAGGGACAGATTTGAAGAAGCACATGCTTTAAATCATGGAGGAGCTGGGGGCTTGGGGGACATGTCAAAGTTGGTCTTCGAACGCCCCTCGTTTAAGGATAAACTAGTTTTTGTAGACCCGCAGGTCCTCACCGTGACGCCTTAAACATGCCTCACCCTGCTGCGCCCTCTCGGGCTGCACCTTACCACCTTGAACAGCAAAATATCATCTGGGGTCCACAGCAGCAGCTCACGCACCCGATTCGGACGGAATTCCGTCCGTGCGCCGCCGCAGAAGCGGAACCCGATTGAGTAGAAAGCCTCGTTTCCAAACAGCGCGCAAATACTCATGCCAGTCATCCGCCGTGCACCTTGGCGGAGAGTGTTGTCAAATCACACGCAAGACTACAAACCACCAAGCGCTGAACGTTGAGGAAAGCTTGTTGCACAAATTGCCTCACCCTTCTTGCCACCATGACATTCTCGCATGCCCAGCGCAGCATCAAGGTTGGACATCGTGAGCACCCCTGCCAAAGGATCGCCGGGACACACTCCCAGTAGGTCCCATGCGCAACTGAGCGCCGGCTGGGGCGCGCATACGGCCTGACGGCGTCGGGACCATGGGACGCAGGACGACGCAGACTTCGCCTTCGTCTTCAGCTCGAGGAGGCAGAGGATGTTGGCGGGGATGCTGGCAACAGTCATAGACGATTTGCACAGCATTTACAGCGCTTGTCATCAAAACCCGTCGCAAGGCCAGGGATGTCGGGGGTGTGTCCGGGTGAAGGGGATGCTGAGGGAGCTTCTGCTGCAACAGCACTTCTGCTGTCAACGGGAAGGGGCGTTTCTCATGAGGCGCTCGTCTTGAGGCTGCTTGTTTAGACAGTGGGGTGGGGGGATGATAACATCACCGCATCACGGCCCGCACCAATGGCCGGAGGTCGGCTGCGAATGTCACAGGAACCAGATCCAGGCAGGGACAATTTGCTCTTCCGGGCAGAACTGCAGGTTTGGTCTCCTTTGTCGGTTCACCCGCCTCCGGGCAGGTGCGGAAGGCGGCAGCGGGATTCTTTGCGTTTCGCAAGCACGCCGGGACCTGTTTCGCGACGGTGTTCAGGCTTGGGACACTGCTGCCAGCTTCTGGTGAGGAGGCAAACCACAGTGCACCGCGTGTCGCATGTTCGTCCGCGGTGGATGAAGAAGACAACTATCCGTGGGCGGCTTGTTGTTGCTCGTGGCGCTCAAACTCTTGATAAGTGCTTGAATGGCCGCTTGCGCCACGTTCGGAGCGCGTGAGAACAGCGCGCAACATTCTGGAGCAGCCTAGATGGTGGCACGGCGCAATCTGAACTGCCTAGGAGCCTGGTTGAACATGCCGCCCTGACAAGTCCCAACACAGGCCGTGTAAAACGGTAATCTGCCCCGGGGTCGTGCGCCAGGTGGTAAAACAATCCTGGCCCCTGTAGATTGCTGCCTGTTGCTGCTGAATCTGTGGCCACCTGGTCAGCACGACACACGCACGCCTGATTGCACCCGATGGTGTCCAGTGCAAATGCCGGGCTGCGTCCACGGTGGCAATGATCAAGTCAACGCAACAGTAGCAAGTTGAAAAGCACACACGCGCACGCACGCGTGCAGGCACACGCCCGCGCCCACGCCCACGCCGACACACACACAACACAACACAACACAACACAACACAACAAAACACAACACAACACAACACACACACACACAGACACAGACACAGACACCTGGCTGTGGCTACGGCGGCAACATGACCACAATCATGCTGCATCTATGGAGGCACATGCTAGTAAACAGGCGTATGCGTGTTCTTTCTTGACGGCTTGGCTGTTGGCTTGATGGGGCGGTTCTTGGGGGCGAAAATTTTGAGATTTGGAAATGGCTGGTTGACATGAATTTTCGCTTGAGCGAAACGCTCAGTTTCAGCTAAGTACACAAGAAAAAGGAGGTCAAAACCGGCCCTGGTGTTGAGGCCTGGAAAACCTGGGTCCACGCGGACTCACACTTCCTGCTTGCGGCGACGCCACCTCCCTGTCGCTTGCCAAGAGTCAAGATTGCCTTTTGACGATGTCCGTTGCTTCAAAATGAGTTAGACCCTTTTCTGGGGGCTGACCCTAGAGGTTGCACCCTCCAAGGTGCTTGGAAGCTCTCACAGCCTGTGCACTTTCTTCAACAGTCCCGAAGGGCGAGATCCGCGGCTGGTAAGAAGCAAGTGTGGAACCCGAAAAAGGGGTCAAAGAGGAAAGTCATGTTCAAGAGGCAACAGCCCAAAGACCCGCCTAGGCAACGCTGCCAGGGGTCTCGGCCACACCTGGCATCGGATACCGGATGGCGTTTGGGCTGGTTACCCTGAGGACAGCCCTATGCGGCAGATGCATACACAATATGGTGCTTCTACACCCAAAGAAAAAGCCAACTGGAGCCATGTTTGGACCCGCGGGGGGGGGGGGGATTCGCAAAATGGTGACCCCCTTTTTGGTTGGTATTTACCAGGTAGTGATTGAGGGGCAGTGGAAACTAGCTAACCATCCCGGCGTCTGGTAGCTTTGGAAGCTCATGTGCCTTGGTCAAAAGACCCGGGTTCGCGCAGGTCCCAGAGCCCCGCAATTGGGACACCCATCGGAGTTTTGACCGTTGCACATGTCGGGTTGTCTCTGGGTTTGCATTTTAATGGGGAGTAGCCTAAAACGTGGCTGGCGCACATACCCCATTTGCGAATGATGTCCACCACAGGGTCCCCTGTGACAATCATTGCGGAATCCCCAACAGTGGTGTCTCCATTTACAATATGTTAAGCAGCCCTGGAAACCAACCTTAAAAGACACATCCACATGTATCGCAGGTTTGTGATTTGGTGTTTGGATCAGGAAAAGCGAAAGTGAAAGGACTAAGCGTAGTATCGTTTGGTGAAAGAACGCGATTTGTCCATCGGCAATGACTTCGGCTGCGCGTTATGTTGGGCTCGAGGGGCGTATGGTGAGTTGGAAGTTGTTCAAGGCCATTGGCACGGTTTGGCTTAGATGCAACGGGTTAAGGGGGTGCCACGCGTGGAATCCCCCAATGGCCTTCGGCTCTTTGCATTCCCTCTCAAAAAAATGGGTTCAAAAAGATGCCTCCTGATGCCAGAAGGGCTCTGTGTTTTCTGCTTGTTCTTTCCGCATGTGCAAAGCCAGCAGTCCGCATTGTCCTTTCCAGACTATGTTTTGCTTTGTGTCCAAGGGTGCAGTTGTCCTATCCCAACCAACCCCAAAAAGGTGTCCAAAAACAATCCCTCTCCCCTTTGGAGAAAAACAAGTGTGGCCCGAAATTCCCGCACCTCCCGGCGAAGATTGCGAAACGTCACCCCAGCCAGCATGGCGGGCACTGAGCCGTGGGTTTAGATTGGGTCGTTCTGGAAGGCTACCCTTTGGGCAAAAGAGAAACCAAAGGGGCACTTGTTGCTTTGCCAGCGAGGGGTTGCAAGGAACTTGAGATCCCATAGGCGCGGGCTTTTCGTGTGAGCCTTTGTGACGTGTTTGCCATGCTGAACAGGGGCAAACCATGTGCCTTTCCTAAACAGCGCAAACCCCTTTGTGGTTGGGTTACCTGGTTTTCCTTGTTTCCTTTCTAAAGCCAAAAGAGGTTCGTTCCGCTATTCTTGGACCGGCTATGCACCTGATGCGCACTCCTGCATCGTTTGCCATGCTTTGTGCCCAAAGCGACTGAAAGCGGTCGAAAGCAAACCGGCCAAACATGACAATCAAGTTCGGTGGCAGCAACAGTCAAATGACAGACTCGGCGCTTGAGAATCAAAAGAACTAAGGAAACCAAACAATTGTGGCAAGCAATTGTTCGCCAATTTTGAGAGAACACCGAATTCGAAAATCCGGAAGCAAGCCTCTAAAGTGATGTCGTCCTGCTGGCTCACACCAGAACTCAAGATTTCAAAAAGATCAACTCTTGTTCAGGGGTCACTATTTGTCCCACCCAAGCATTGCACTTTGAAAGGGGGACCGTTTTTACTTGGGCACGAATAGGCGGGTTGATCCTCTCAAAAATGATGACCTCTGCTTCTTTCGCTGCTTTCTGTTTGGCCTTCGTCTTCTCCTGAACAACCGCTTGGTTAACGGCCCCTTTCCCTCATGAAGCATGGGAAGACAAAAACGCCCAAAGGGCGTTCCTGAAACTTGAGGACCTCCTTGGAACGCCACTCCGGACCGGTTTTCACTTGCCGGTCCTCTCTTCTTTCGCGAGCTGGCCACAGCCAGGAACTGGTGAAGGATGAGGAAGGAAGCGGCAAGAGAGGCATGGAAGGAATGGAATAGTTGGTTGGGTCACCATCTATTGCCAAGTAGTTGGCCCAACTTCTTTCTCTATGTCTTTCCTCGTCCCTGTCAAGTGGTAAAAACAACGAGGCAAAGAGACAGAGCGGGGAGTTATTTCATCATACCTTTCCACCTAATTGTCAACCGACTGAAGGAAAGGGACAATATAAATGGGTAAGGGATGGCCATTGCTTTGTCTAGGTCACAATGTGTTTGATGATAGGTGATGGGACAAGTAGGTGATGAAAGGAACCAACAAGAATATCAAAAAGTGTTTGGACATGTCAAACATGTCCAAGCTTGTTGTATTAGACCGAACTATACCTATTTTATTGGCATTACATCGGGCTCCTGTTGCTTTCTTATTCATATGTCTATCTTGATCTTGGCAATCGAAGCCAGGCCCCAAGGTCGAGCCAATGATTGCACTGCGTTGTCCGGTCGGCTTCGTGTTCGCCCTCCGTCCAAGGTATGACACTCAGTTATAACACGCCACTCAAGTCGAGCTCGAGGAATCCTCGAAAACCCATGGGCAAAAATCCGATCGACCTGTCGAAGGGAAGCTTCGGGCTTCTGACAAAATAATCACAAAAAATGATGACCCTTTTTGGGGGCCCGAAACATGTTGCCCGGTCTCTTAAAAAGTTCACGAGAAACGACAAATTGGAAAGCTTCGACTGCATCCCTCAAGCTTCAAAGACTGTCCAAAGAAATTGACATTTTAGGCCTCATGTTCGGCTCATTCACTCGTGGGGCGTGGTATCTTTGCTGTGCTTGGCGCCAAGCAAATTGATCAGCTTCTCTCGCGTCGGCCTGGCCATCTTTGCGAAATCTAGGCAACGGCTGGCTCAAAGGAGAACGGAAGCCCAGAAAGAACAAACCCAGGAGAGTCACCCGAGTCAAAGCTATTTGCCCCGCAAAAAAATGATGCTGTCATCTGAGCAAGAGCTTGTTCTTTGCGTGCCCCTCCAGCACAAGCAAGTTCCGTGCACATGTCTTCTTTTCTGTGCAAATGTGTGTTGTGCACTGCATGCAGTGCGCAAAAACGACCATGACAACATCGACAGCATCAACAACATCAACTGCAGCAGCCCAACCAATGCGAATCGGCCAAGCTACCAGCAAAGAAAATTGAACCACGTTGTTCCCCCTTCGGTTCCCACCTCAGCAGTCAAGATCGACAGCGTGTCCTCAAGGATGGCCAAAACTCGCGTCATGCAAAGGGAGACACGTTTCCAGCACCCCGCTCCCCAGCCTCAGAATCTAGGTAGAGCCAGTGACGTGAAAACAAGAGACAGGTGGCCCGCAAGTGTAGTTTACAACATTGTGGGCGAAAGAAAAGGCTGCGCCCCTGCTTTTCAGGCAGCAGTCCAAGCCTCCCTGCGAAAGTTTCTTGGCGCAAGCTCTCTGAGTAACTCTCTTTGAACAAGCTCTCTTTACGAGGGCTTGGCGCAAGCTCTCGGCGCAAGATCCGCTCTGCGCAAGTTTCTCCAAACGCATGCCCTGTGAATCTTTCTGCGCGAACCCCCAAGGCAAATTTACTTGCGCAAGTTCGTCCGAGCAAGTTGTCTGTGCAAGTTTCTCTGCACAAGCTCCCTGAACAAAACGCATGAACTCGAAGCCAGCTCTCTGCGCGCTACTTGCCACATGTTGACTACAAACTTGCGAATTTCAAGTCGTAGCTGCCAAACTGCACTTTGTGTTCTGCATCTAAGACTTGGCTGAGGGCGCCAAAATGTCGCAGTGGCTACGCGAGCGCGGCGCAAGAATAGCATTTGGCACGGTTCGCTGCACATCGGCCTGCCCGAGCACCGCAAAAGATCGAGCAGCGCCCATGTTCTACCCCGCCACCTTAGAAAACTAATCTAACGTAATTCCAGAAAGAAAGTCTCTTTGCGCAAGATCTCTGCGCAAGTTTTCCTGCGCAAGAGCTCATCGCGTCTTTGAACCGGCACGAACTTCTGCACGCAAGTCTCTCTGCGCAATCTCTGAGCAAAGTTATTGCGCAAACCCCTGTTTTTAAGCAAGTTCTCCGAGCAAGTACCTCTGCGCAAGGTCTTTATGCAAACTTCTTTGCGCAGACTTGTCTTTGCAAGCGTCTCTTCACAAGTTCTCTGCGTGGGCTTCCTTGCGCACATTCTCTGAGCAAATGTCTCTGCACTATTTCCCTGCGCAAGTTCTCTGAAAGTTCTGTGCGCAAGCAGGATTCCCTGTGTAGGTTCTCTATTCGAGTAGTTTTGCCCAATGTCTGTGTGCAATTTGTCTGAGCATGTTCTTTGCGCAAGTTTTGGTGTGCATATTTCCATGAACAGATTTCTCTGAGTAAGCTTCTCTGCGAACATTCTCCGCTCAAGCTAGCTGAGCAACTTGTCCGCACCAGTTCTCTGGGCAGATGCTCTGAGCAATCTATCGTTGCAAGTTTCTATTAGAAGCAAAAGTAAACGACTGGATCCATGAAAGGTAAAGTAAAACAATGCAAAGCAAAGCGTCCTTGTAGCGCTTGCCAATTCTACTGCGTCGCTTTCCCGGTAGAAGCACCAGTGAAAATAAGGAAAGCTAAAACATGTTGCAACTGATCAAACTCCAAGAAGGCCAAGTCCACGGCCATTCCCTTTTCCTATTCCAACAAAGGTAGGACTCTTGTGCCTAAATGGCATTCGACACGTACAAGTACCAACGTGAGGCTTCACACTCACACTGGATAGGCCCCTCCAAAACTCTAAAAGGTTCAAGCCCGATGACGGGCATGTCCCACATTCTCCATCGCAGCGTCGTGGTACCAGAAGGTGGCACCAGCTGTATTACACAGCGAGTTCCCCGTACTCAGATACACATCCGGCCCCAGCTCGCGACGGTGCTTGATGAAATCGCGCGGTGAAACTGGGCGAACGTTTCGGCACGTTTTTGCACGCGTTGGCACGCTTGGTGCCCCTTCATCGAGCTAGATAGTGAACTCTTCATCACCAAAAACAGACTGATAGAATAAATGAAGACAATTAGAAAAACAATTAGCAACAACGCGCCAGGTAGAACAAACTGACATCATGCCATGGAACACCCCCTCATGGGTCAAACAGAAAAAACTGCGCCAGATAGAATAACTGAACAGGGGCCACATGGTTGATGTTGTTGGCTCACGCCCGAACTTCAAGTGGTTTCTTCAAACCCGGAACAGCTGGCCCCGCTTGTATTCTTAGGTTATTTTGAACCTGTTGGGCGGGTTCTGGAGCAACTTCACACAGCTTGGCAAACGCCTGCCCACCTTTCAAGGTTCAGAACTCATTTTACACCGTGGTGTTTTTCCTAGGAGTGTCTTTTTAATTTTCTAGCTTGGAATTACCTAGAACTTAAAAAAGCCAACTGTAGAATAGTGTCTAGCTTCAAGAAAACTTACATAGGTTCTTATTTCAAGTTAGATTTCATTTAACTTGCTAGTCATAGTTTACATGGAGTTTGAAAGGTACACATTTCTTGCATAATTTTTGGTTTCACAGGGAACCTTACAAAGTTTTCTTTTCACGAAAGCATTGCGAAGGCTGCGAAGGGTTCTTCCTGTAAAGTCGTTGCGTTCTGCACAGCTCAACTGCATAGGGAAAGTGGACAGTGAACTGCAGAGGGAAAGAAGACGTCGTTAAGTCGCTGCGTTCTGCGCAGCTCAACTGCATAGGGAAAGTAGACAGCGAAATACAGAGCAAAAGTACGCAGTAAAATGCGCAGAGACATGCGTAGGGAAAGTGCAAAGTGAAATGCGTAGCGATCTTGCATTCCTTCTCGCACGAGCCTAACTTGCACAGGATCTTGCACGCTTCCTGAAAAATAGTATCTTGAAGCGTTGCGGTGGGACCGAGCGCACTCTACGAAAATGAGACACTCTCAAGGATCGGCGTAGTCGATGTGCAAAAACTGTGTTTTTTTTGCGACTCTTGCGTGACGCACGCCACCCTCTGCGGGGATCGGCGTGGTCGAGGTGCAAAAGCTGCGTATTTTTTGCGATTCTTGCGCGACGCACGCGAACCTTTGCGGGGATCGGCATGGTCGATGTGCCAAAACT